AGAAGAAGAAGAAGAAGAAGAAGAAGAAGAAGAAGAAGAAGAAGAAGAAGAAGAAGGAGATGCATTCATTGTTCTTTCTACTCCTACACTCAGGACTAGCGTTCAAGTTACAGAAAGAGCAATTGACAGGAAAAATTTCTAATGGCAACAGCAGTTCAACAATTGAGTCGCTTTCATAGAAGAATGGTGGAATGTTCTGTACTGAAGATCTTTAATCCAAAGTTAGCTGCCAGCTATTGGAAATGTATTGGAAATGAGCCAAATCTATACTGTTATTTACATTTTCATATTTTTCTACTAGCTTACTTTACTGATACATTACTAATATTTTAATATCTATAATTTGGTGGAGAGATGTGTGGTCATTTAAGACATTTAATATAGATTCAGTTGTTTGGGGATTTTGTTGCTGTTAGCTACCTTGTAAAATCTTTTATTATAAGAGGACATGAGGGGAGAAATACATATTTTCAATAATTGCCACACAAAAAGATACAGAATAGACTCTAGCAATAAGTCTGTGGTGGGCCCATACATTCCACTGGAATTATCTGTTATTTTTTAAATTAATTATGCAATAATCATTTCTGATGTGGGTGGAAGGAGAGTTCTTATCTGCTCTCTCGCAGTATCTATAAAATAAAGTCAAGAAGTAAGATTAGGTAGAGCACAGGTGGATGACAAGGTAGTTCCAGTCCTATAGAAATACTTACAAAACAGCCTGGTGACACCTCAAAACAGGATATTATTTTTAAAAATTTAAACGGGATACCTCTAATTTCTTTCCAGTTCATTACAATAAATGTTTCACAGTTGGGCCTGCATTAGCTGTGGGAACCATGTAAATACAGGTTAGGCGGACCATTTCATACATCCATCTCTTTGATTTGATCGCAATCTCAATGTTCAATTGCTCAAAATGTTATGACTCAATATGGGTGGAACTGCTTTCAATAAAAAGGGCTGGACTTTAGGTGAGATAGGCCTAAACTGATCTCATGCAGGCAAAAATACCTTACAATATTGTGACCGTCTGTAAATAATAGGGTCTAAGTGAAAAAGAAGATCAGCTTACTGCAAAGGACATTGTGTGACTAGTTTTGTGTCCATTGATGTATAGAAGGCTTTCTAATGCTGTTCTGTTCATCACTACCTCATTTGCTTCTTTAAAAAATAACAGCAGAGAAAAAACCTCCCAAATGTCTCATTCTGAACATCTTTTATCTATTTGGCTCCCCAGCTGACTTTATTATGACCTCTGCTGTTTCTCATCCTGTCTCTGATTAGGTGCAAAAGAACCGAGAACATTACAGGAGGAGCTAAGTGCAGTACACAAAATATTATTTTCTCATTCTTTGAGGTAGAAGTCACCACATTATGTTATCATAGCTTATGATTCTGAGAAGTCTGTCCCATTTTTTAAAGTCTCCACCTTTTAAAAAACAAATTAAGCTAATGGGCATTGCAGCATCTTGCAACAGAGAATTTCATAAGCTAGTTGTTTATAACATGAATAGTTCTAACATCGCATGACCCTAGATATAAAGATTGGAGCTAGAGTAAATGTAAAAGCGTATGGTGCACAAACGAAAGCATATTCATGCAATAAGGTTTTCTTCCCTCATATTTTTGCTGGTGGGTGGGAGAGCCACAATGCAAGGAATTATTCCATTCCCAATTTCACGGACGGGAAGCAGTTTTATCAATGGAAAACCTTCATTTAATTTCATCCCATGTTAATGGAATATAGATTTGCTAAAGTTTGTTAAGTCCCACTGATTTCATTAGCAACAAATGCAACTATTTTAGGCTGGACCCAGCCCAATGGATTCTGCAATGGAGTATGGGAGAGTTTCCCAGTGTTATTAGTGCTTTTGAAACAGCAGTAGCCACACAAAGTTACGTGAACCTGTTTACACCCAATGCACAGTCGTTCTGCGTGAAGTCCATGAAGCCTATTAGTGAAAAACAGATGTTGTATTTTTCCACAAGGTGAGTCCCCTTTTAGTTTTTTTATGTTTCAACAACAATTGCACAACTAACCCTTCCTCTTCATTTGGAACCGGTGAGCAATGTGATTTCTGCTGGAGGCAAAGGCTCAACTCAACTCCACTAATATGCCATTTTGAAATATCTTTCATTAAAAAGTCTATGCCTTGATTTCTTCCTCATGACTAACTCAGTTCTTCACGTCATAGTTTACAGAGTATAGTGCCCAAAGGCTGGGATTCACCAACACTGCTTTGCTGCTTGTCATGAAAATTGGACATTGCATGTCAATCCAAGACAATGGTTCCCAGATGGGAGTGGTGGAGAGTATTGGGCCCCTGTATGAGGCACATCCCCCAGCCCACAGCTCTCGTCTTGTTTTAATCAATGCATTAATTAATTAAAACAATAGTGCTGTCAAAAAGGTAGGATTTCAGGAGCTTCCAGGCTTGTTGGAATTCCAATCCAAATATTAAATTAATATAACTTCATGATGTAATTCAGTATCTCTTGAAACTATATAAAGTACAGCAGTTGATAGGTTAAAACAGAAGGGATGAGTGGAGAATCAAATTCATTTTCATCCAAGTAGGACTTGGAGAGTGGCAAATGACATTGTGGAGGGTTCTTGCAAATACAAGATTGCTGTTCTTTCTTGCTTCTTGTCCTGAGATTTTTTTATTTTTATTTTTTGGTTTCTCAGCTCCTATGTATTCAGAATGCCAGTTATATAACCACTGCATCTTAGTTTCCCAGAGTTAAGCACCATGAGTCTGTGGGTGGAAGTACAGAATGTGATTGTTTAAATAAAGTCTAGCTTTTATTGCACAAGAATCCAGGTGGCACAAATTGTCTCTAGGACTGACACCAGCTGTTAGAAAGGAGAGACAGAGAATGGCATGAATCACAGAATCAGCATCCCAGCAGCACCAGGCATGGCTGCCCTGAAGTCTGACTGGGAACAGAGCATGTGGGACAATTGCTCTGTAATTTTGGAAATGATTCTGGAACTGAAAAGCACCCTGCCCTCAAGAGTTTCCAAAACTGGGAAGTGGGAAGGAGAAAAGAAGGCTTTTGAACTTCATTTGTTTTATTATTTCATGAAGAACTTCAGCATTAATGAGTGTTTGGTTAACGATGGTAGGAGCAGTTAAAACAGCACTAGCATTTATGACTATTTAGTTCCATCATCCAACATCTTGGCACAACGGGTGAAATGCCACCATCTCTCCGGCAGATGCTTCAGTCCTGTTTGGCACCAACGTCCCCTCTTGCATATTCAGGAGGGAGCTCATTTCAGCTCGTGCAGCTGCAACTACCCCATTGCCCATGCCGTGTGCCAAGAGAGTAGGTGGAGCTGGACGGAGTGTGTCAGAGGAATATATCATCAAAAGCAACATCCGTATGCTAGGCCTTGCATCTTTGTAGATGGCAGCTCTCTAATCCCATTTCCATCCCCAGCCTCTGTGCCATATGTCACTATAAATTGCTGTTTAGATCTCTGGCCTCTCGTTGATAATTCATGAGCTACTGAGTTTGAAACAAATGAGTATCAGTTGTCAGCAGCCTGGAGGCAACTTTGGAGACGGAATGGGGAAATTCCACTTCAAGGATCAGTTTGCACCAAAGCGGGTCTGTAAACAGCAGTAAAAGTAGGAGAAAGCTTTGAACGTAAAAAAGCTATGCAGACAATCCAGCCTTCACCAGCTTGTCATATTCATGGTGTCTTAGACTACAGCTTTATCATTCTGTAGAAGGCCTTGCGTTTCTGACATCCATTCGGCCCCGCTCCCTCTAAGAGCTCAGATTCAGAGCTATTTTTCATAGTGATCGACAGCATGACTGGAAAGACCTGGCAGCCCCCATTTTTTATCCCCCAACCCTGCATGATGCAGGCTTGTCTCAGCTCCACCCCTTTATTTCCACAGCCTTATCCCACTGTTTTCCATGCTGTCCTGCAAAACAATGGCAAGCTGCAAAACGCAAAGGAGAGCAAAGAAAGGCAGGACCGTTCCTTGCTATGCTCTTTTGAGTGCCGTGCCAAGGGCTTGTTTGCGAGTGAAAACAATCTCATGGACTGGGAAGGAGAAGAAGAAGAAGAAGATTAAAAACTGCTGTGTCAGGTACATGTCGGTTGCAAAGGAAAAGGGAAGCAAAAAGAGGGAGGCTTATCTCTGGGCCTGCAGAGGTGAAGTCAGGCCACAGCCTCAACCGCTTGCATTGCTGCCCATCAATACAGCGGTCTGGGAGACTGAAAGCGTGCTACGTGGGACTTTGACATGCTGAGAGGCAGGAACACTGGACTGTGCCCTTCTGGGGTTTAGAAGGGCTGCGTTTAGAGTTCAGTTCCCTTTGCTTTCTGCCTGCCATGCTTTGACCCAACACAAACCAGTTTTGTAGTTTGGCTCATGCGTGAGCAGACACGCAGTTCTGGATCCTTCAAAAATTGCTTGCCACAGTTTCTGTGGATGATTTGGGGGGGTGGGGGACACCTTGGAGATTCAGCTTTGACTGGATATGTTCCACATCCAAATCTGCTTTTGCAAATTGTACTGTATCAAATAGCTAAAGAATTTGTTGTTGATTGATCATGATTCATAACTGCATCACATCCTACCATGACTGCCCATTTTTTAAAGAGAAGTGGGAGAGAAGAAGTCTCACCGGCAAAGATTAAGGATAGTCATATTTGGCCCCAAAGGGTAATAGTTTGGGATTCAGTTACACCCCCAATCTAAAAGGTTACAAAAAGGATTTTTTTAAAAAACTCTGCAGGAACTGGGGCTGAATGCTCAGGTAGCTCAGGTGAGCAGTGAGATGTTGGAAGAGAAAAAGTGGATGAACTCACACTTCCTTTGCCATGAATGGAAGTCAGAGTTTGCAGTCACAGGCCTCATAGTTTTCAGGAAGTGAAAACTTGGCAGTAGATATGAAACTGCAGCTTCTGGTTTAGTTCACAGCACTTCCACATCAGTGATTTGCATTACTTCAGGATCTGATCTCACCTGACTGAACTCATGACATGCCTGTTTTTATGAGCTGAGTTTTACTGGAAGCCGTAACAAAGCTGGCATTTTTTTTTGAATTATCATTATTATTAATGTTATTGGTTTGCAAACTTTATGGATGGTCCATTTTTCCATTAGTGAGAACTCTTTCCACACCCCATCTCCTAACTCCTGAATTCAAGCTAGACATGACTGTCTCTTCTGCTCCCTTCCCCCACAGAGGTCCAGCGTGATGTCTTTTCCTGTATGCATCGTTTAAAACATACCTCCCCCTCCCCCTGCGCCAACTAGCTGTTGTAGCAAGGTGCAGGCATGGGTGACAGCTGTCGGAAAAAGAATGTGGTTCCTGAATGACTAAGACACAAACATTTCACTTTCACGATCCACTGCCCCCCTCCCCATGTGCCTGGCTCCTTAACCTAGGTTTGCAATTTGTCATCTTGTCTGGCCCATCGTAGAGATTCAGAAACTGCTTGCCACCCATGGCAAACTTGCTGTCTGAATCTGAGAACAAATTTGATCAAAATGGTTTAACTCCTGCTCTAAGATGATGTTCTAGCTTTCCTGTCTTTTAAGGAATACTGGATAACAAGCAAACTGGCAATGGTGTAGGCTTCTTGTCTCTTTTGTTGAGTTGTCTCCACAGATAGGAAACATGCTGTAGTTGTTCTGCTACTAGTTTTCACAAGGGAGCGATCTGAAAGACAAAGCCGACACAAGCCTCAGTGTTGCTGCGCTACAGCTTTTTAAAACAAAAATTATTTTAGGAGAGAGATAAGTCCATAACAGAGATTAGCAAGAAGAGGGGAAACAAAGGTTGCATGGCTTCTGAGAACTGCACCAAGAACTGGAAGTACTTGGCTTCCAGTCCTTGTCTTTGGGCTAAAGGCTCTTCCTCCCTTTCAGCTCACATATTTGTTTAACCTTTTCTGGTTAGCTGTATGACCCAGAGCCGAATTTCAAAGCATGGCTCATTATGCTTCCAGCTTGCTCACTGCTGCCCACCCAATTTCCATTCATATCTTTGTGGCTCTCAGTGTGCATGGAGAGATGAGATGTGTCATGAAAGAAATGCCACCTAGTGCAGGGATTTAGCCCCACTGATGTGGCTCTTGTTCTGGCTACTTGTCCATTTGGATGAGCTCTGATCAGTGCAGAGATTGGTATCTTGCATAGACCATAGACATGAAACAAGCTGATTAAACACACATTCTCTCTGGCAGCCTCTTAGATGACACAGGGCCTGCTGTCTAAAGTGCACGTTAAAAACACCTGGCCAAAGGGAGTTCCCACTCAGGCGCTTCTGATAATGCAACCTATTTTAATATGCCACTCTTCATTGGTGAATTAATGCCACACCTATTCTCTGCAGAAGGTCAGCATAGGTAGGGGTTCAAATTTCTGTAACCATCCTATGAAGTAGGGTGTGTGTTGGTGGGAATTGCTTTGTTCAGCAGAAAGGTCTGCTTCATGACTTAGCTCTGTGGCTATGGAAGCATTTTAACAACAGTTGTTCCAGATCATAAACCAGAACCCCATTGCTGTGCTATGATGAATAGTTAATTAGGCTTCAGACCAGGGATCAATATATAGACAGCCACCTCTGAATTTTAGCTACCACAGCAAATTATATGTAGAACTCTGTGTGTGTGTGTGTGTGTGTATGTATCATAGGCATATATAAGATAAAAAGAAAATAAAAGTAGATTCACTTTCAGAAGAATTCTATGAATAGTGTAGGCCAATCCTGTGCCCTAGACCAGTGTTTCTTACCCTCAGTAACTTTAAGATGTATGGACTTCACTCCTAGAATTCCCTAGCCAGATTGCCCTAGACCAATGTTTCTCAGCCTTGGCCACTTGTAGATGTGTGGACTTCAACTCCCAGAATTCCCCAGCCAATTTAGCCTAGACTATAGATGTCCTTGAAATGGGTCTGCTTATTCATAGGTAGAATATTGGATATCATCCAAACTACAAGCACCAGTGTTTACGTATGTTCTCTCTGCCAGTCTACCATTTCTTCTAAATATTGGCAACAAGCTCGCTTGGGGCTCTCATGGATGGAATATGATACAGTCATAGCCAAAACAAGGCAAAGTCCATTTTTTTCAATTTGCTTGGAAAAGAACTAGCTTATCAACTGGCTTGTGGGAATGGAAGAGAAAGAGGAAGAATATTAATATCTGCAAACAGCTATGCTGAGTGGTAATCCGAGCTCCTGGTTGGCAACTGCTGTTAGTGCTAAGCCCCTGAGAATGTCTGACTCTGGCTAAGAGCCCCAGTCTGTCATGCCCTCATGGTGTTTAACCTTCTGAAGGGACAGCAGGAGTGGAAAGTTCCACTTAGTTCCTCACCCATCTTTGCCAATCTTTTAAACACTAGCAGTCTTTCTCCCCTGCTGGAGTGGCTTTATGATGCCTGACTCTGCTAAAGCCAGAATCAACAGGATCTAAGATCATCCAGCCATACGTTCCCAGAAAAAGGGCTAATTTTCAAGAAAATGGGAAGAAAATAGGTAATTCCTCTCAGGAGTTATTCTAGCATAAGAGAATAAAAATTAGCTACCTGGATTAAGTCCAAAGGCCATCTCATCTGGAAACTAAACCTTATGAGGATAGCCTGAGGAAAATACGTGTGTTTAGCTCTGAGAAAAGAAGGCAGAAGGGATATACATTAGCTCCATAGAGTAATATAATATAATATAATATAATATAAATCAAATTTATAATGTTGCCTGACTACATTGGATAGTATACAACACTAAAACAGTATGTATGTATGTATGTATGTATGTATGTATGTATGTATGTATGGTGCCATGGCAAGAAGTGGCTGACATTGGGAAATCCTATCAGTGGCTGGAAAGGGCTGGACTAAAAGACAGC